AACCTGCTTACTGAAAAAGCTGACAATCAAAGAGGCGCAAAGAACACCGAAATAGCAACACTCACTGCAGATACTCCAGAGAATGTGGATTCTTCGGTTTCGACAAAAGAGATGACGAGTATGCTTTCGATTTATTCACTGCAAAGGGTGACAGAATTAGACGCTGCAGCTGCTTCATCCTTAATAACTTACTCTACAAGAACTCCACATTTGCTACCTCTGCTTTCCCTCAAGCAACAATTTGTTCAAATTTTTCCGGAAAGTACTGTAATTGCAATCATGCAGATATGATTTTCAAGTATGACTAGTTATTTATGAACTCAAAGTTATTTTACTGAAAAACGAGCATTCAAGTCTGATAGTTAATCCAACTTCATTTAGATAACTTTTAGTCTTTCAATCAGACCTAATCACTGCTTCAGTTGTTTACCAAAGCTAAGATATCATCGTCATCAAATCTGTCGCTACCAAATGAAAGATTCTTTAAGTTTTCTATACAGCATCATACTACCGCATCTGATATTCGCATTCCGTTTGCATACTTGCTGATTTCGGTTGCATTAATGCAAATCGTTGTAATAATTACTTTTGCTTAGGCTAAACTGCATTTTCACTTTTGTCAACAGTCGACAAGTACTTTGCGTAATCACTCCGCATATAAAATATATTCTGTACTAGTTAACCACGCTTCAGATCACGCTCGATCGATCAATCTTCAGTAAATGACACATCGCAAATGCAATATTACAGTAGCTATCGATAGCTCAGCTTCAACAGTGAAAATTGCTTGACAACATCGCTGCATTGCGAACTTAGTTTCATACCGAAGTAAGTTTATTCATGCACTAATTTGACGGTATTACGAATGTTTCTCTTATCTTTTTATTTAGAATCCGTTCATATTATTACATGTAATGTGATGTTCCTTTCCTGCACGTTGCACGGTCGCCAATTTTTTTGCATGCATGCTTATTTACCTCTGAATCTTTGGTTTCTCTTCGTTCACTACCTTTCTCTGTTTACCATTCTGACGTAGATCAACGTTGTGTCATTTGTCGGGGACACTGAGGGTTGTTTTCTTCCTCTTTTCCATGGTTTTGCCGGTTTGTCTTATGTATTAACACCATACTCATGAGATAGAGTGCATATTCACCGTTGTTGCTGGGATTTCGGCTCGGTAATTTTGACGCTCATGAATCCACTTTCGGAAATCCAGTTATGCGCTTGGTGGATACCTATGCATTTACGGGACTGGCGAACGTACTGTCAATGAAGCTATTTTTCCATTTAAATATTGTGTTGGATGTTCTCTACACTTTTTCCACGATCCATTAGCATCTCTGCCTGTTTTTACTTCTATTTTCCACAGACTGTTAACCTTCACAGCCTTCAGCATTCCATGGTTCAATGCCACTGCCAGATATTTCCTTCGGAATGCTGACCCTAATTGTGGCCTATCTTTGACACTACGAACTTTCTTCTTCCTTCTTTGCGCCTAGCATATTGTCTGTTTATAGCACCATCCTGCATATATTCAATGATAGCTTTCTTGCCTTTTAATCGAATTGAAAACTTTCTGCCTGCAACATCACAAGGTAAACTCGGTCTAAGCATGCATTGGAAAATTGCACAACTGGTTAATGATCACAAGACTGGATTTACACTTTATCCTATGAGTGTGATCTCAATCACATTAATAAAGTCGGCAACACCATAGAAGAGCGGAGGAACGAACACCTCATTAACCTGAGTAGACGGCAACATATTCGTCTATTTCAGAATGGCAAAACACAATGAGATAGAGAACGAAGAGAAACGAAAGTTTCATAAGTGAGGAAGTATGAATGCGGAGAGAGCCCGGCGGCTGTGCAACATTCAATGCAAGAACAACATTGCAGATTATGGGAACATGCAAAGGGAATACACTGAGAACAAAACTGTATAAACAGGAGAATGAAGGAAGTGTCTGATAATAAAATCAAACCAATGCATGAATAAAAACATCGGTAGAGAAGTAATTTCGCATTGGAGCGAAGCTGTCGAGCATCTTTCACCACCAAGGCTAAATCTTCCATGGTTGTACTTAAATACACTGATTATTGCTGTAAAATTGCACGGGTAATGTGTCGTTTTTCGAAGATGGGTCGATCGAGCATGATTCAAAGCGTTTGAAAACTCTGCACAAAAACTTTTATATTTTGAGTGATCAAGTCAAGTACTTGGCGAGTGCTGAGCCACATTCCTGCAAAAAGAAGTCCACTTCCGCATTCTTGATTTTTGATTAAATAAATTTATACTTGACTATCGTTTTTGTACTGTGGAACAAGTAACGCCCTACAATGCAAATCTTTGTTAGCACGCTTATGTTTTTTTAAAGTTCGGCATGGAAAATAACAATTAGCAGTTTTTATTAATTTTCCAGCGTTTCTGTTGGTAGTATTGTTCAAAAGCGGCCTTAAACTCGACTATTTCTTAATTTCTTGCCAGCAAACGTCTGATAATATTTGTTGTCAAAACAGCTGATCTCGAAATTCTCCGTAAACATGCCATTTCTTGACTGCCGGTTGCTGTTCTCTTTGTTACGAAAATTTTTTGTTCGTATACGCTGTTTGTTTCTATATGTTGCTTATTGGACGTTGTTCGGTTTATAGGGTGAGGTGGTGTAATTGCTTACATGAGTCATATTGTATCCCTATTACTAAGTTATTAATATTTTAGCTTACTCAGCGTTGCCCTAAGTTCCCGTAGTATCCGTAGGTTTTCAGGTTGTACGGAAAGTAAATCAGTACTCTGAGTAAAAGGCAGTGTTGTACAGATCTTCGGGGTCTGTTGTGGTTGTCCTCCAAGCAACCTTGATAATGTCAGCCTAGTTTTTGTTTCTGTATTATTTGGAGGAATACTTGTTGCATATGACAACTTGTTGGCTACTGTGTGAATAGAGTGTTTTCCTGAAGAACTTACGGACGTTTAAAGAATATTATTTCCATGAAACGAGAGCTTTACTGGCGGATATCCTTCATTTAATGTGTTCACACCAGACGATTGTCATGTGCGATTTTGCCGATATGCAGACATCTTTCTTGCGGATAACCATTTTTTGACCGTTTTGCATATAAAAAATTTAACGCAGTTCAGAGGGACTTATGGAGGACAACTGTGTTTTCTGAACAGGATGCGTAATAATCTGATTAAGAGAGATTCCTTGTAATATCCTTCCAATTCAAGCAAGATATATAAAACAGACTGTACAGGGTAGAGTGAATAAAAATAGAATTCATTTTCTTGTTTGTTACTATGGAATAAGATACATGATTTCTTTATGCGGGAGTTGATATGATTCTTTGGTAAGTCCCAAAAAAAAGTCAACGCACCGAGCTCGGTACGAAACATCAGATGGCCCTAATTAAGGAGTATTTTATGCTTTGTCTTCCCGTTTGTGACTTACCAAAGCATCATTTGTTAATCCGTGGTCTAGCTGTCGAAAGACTATCTATTGATACCCCTAGAAATCGTCCTCTAGTCATTGTCGCAAAGATTGCTCTACGGGTTGAGGTACACTCGGGTTTATCTCTTTTATCCGCTGCGGTAACTTTTAACGCCTGTCTTGAACCCCAAAACGGTCGGCCAGTGAGGCTCTGATCTAATGGTAATGATCAGCTGGTAGAACATGAAGCAACTGTCACTGTTCAGCCGGTCGGCAAATGAGTTGTCGTCCATGGAAGTCAGTGACTTGCTTCTAATTCACAAACGGTCATCTTCTCACATTGGAATAATATGACTGGTCTGCTTCAGGTCACAGAGTTTAAAAAGTCAGTCAGTCAGAAGAAATGCAACCACTGAATGTTCTAGTCTAGCGTTTCGGCCTTTGACTCGTCAGCTAGGTTGCCCGAGCATTTTTTCTGATTGGCTCGACGGTCCCTCGTCGATATTCGCGCATAGGTAAATGATAAGTTATTAAGCCCTACATGATAATGATTGACGGGGCGCATCTTCGAAAAGAGAAAGAGGTTGTAGAACGACTCGTTCATTTTTAAACTGGAATACAATTTTTGGTGGGAGGCAGCAACTGCAGGAGGTGTTTTAAATGTCTCTGTAACTCATCAGTTGAATGACCTGATAACACAGCAATTTTTATTTTCGGTATAGTCGGTTTGTCTGCTCCGTTTTGTTTTCTGGACATTGGTCTCCTTTCGTGTGGCTTTATTGTAGCAATTCATTCAGCCTTGTTGGTCATCCTATAACATATATTTCATATAGAACCTACAACACTTGAGATCTGTACGACATAGAAAATTAGCGGTTCATAAACGGGGTATCGCGGTGCGGTATTCTGAAGTCTGATAAGTTTAAAAGCAGCAGTCGTTGAGAAATAACCTCATTTCTGTTATGCCGTTTGTGTCCTCCATCTAACTTTCTTTCGATGAGTATCCAGGTTCCTTACTTTTTTCAACTGCAGTTATTTTGCTGAGTGCTGAGCAAAGCGCGTAGCGGTTTCTTTCACATTTTTTATCGACAGTCTTTTATCCAGTTGGACGATAGGATGACTAATCCGGTCTATAGTGATTTTATCGGCATTCGAGCTTGCAGTCATTCGTTTGTAAAGCCAGTAATCTGCCGACTGAACTGTACCTTCATGTACCGCATAGCAACTGTTGTATTGCCCTAAAATTCAAGCTGGAAATAGATTGCAATTTGAAAGAAGCTGGAGTTTAGCCGTTCTTTCGATTATGTGAAAATCACGTAATTGTTGCATAGGCAGTGGGTGGTTGATTTAATAGTTTCAACTGATTTCATCAATTTGCCATGGAGTGTTGGTGAAACTTTACGCTTTAATGAATTCCTGTTTAGGAACGCGATGAAGACCTTGCAGTTACTTTGGTCACCTTGTTCGATGCGACAAACGACGTCTTGTTGGACAGCTTGAAAACGGTTGACCGTCGCGCAATGGGCGGCGACTTTTGGTGAACTATGGTCACTAACTGACCGGCTTCGTCGAGGAGATGGCCTTGCTGGCGAGGCACTTCGTGGCTGGCCTGTTTGATTCGGTGTCCGGATTTCAAAACCTGTTGACCCTGCGACGTCAGTCTGGCGATGGTCAGAGGACGAATGACGCGTTTCCAGAGCCCCCATTGTCAGTGCTTGCTACGCGGCGCCTGTTGAACAGGTCGTTACAGGCACGATCCTCATACTCATCGTCGTTATCCTCGAGCACTCTTACGCCTACCCGGAGTTCGGCAGTGTCCGCTTCTGCCAGACTCGTCCAGTGCGTACTCCTGAACTTGTCCTGTATCTTTGTACTGCATTGGGTGATGCTGCCACTGCTGGACTCGTCGTCGGCCGTTGCACGGCTATGCAACACGTTTTGGAAGGTGCCGCCATTTATTATCTTCCGAGTAGTGAACGCACTGTGGTTCCAGGACATCGCCAACGCCGTCCTCCGCCACCGTCCCCCAATCGCCGCTTCCTATTCGGTGTCGTTCAGCGAGAAGATCGCGGACTTTGTCACGTCATTGATGGTCGAGTTCACGTTCCTCCTGCAAACGTACCTCGTCGCCCTACTGCCCCTGCCAGGCCTCAGTGCCGCGCTGACCTTCGTGCATATGTGTTTGCTGTACTCGCTGTACGCCTTCGAGTACCTGTGGGTGAGCAACGGTGTACTGCTCAACGCTCGATTAGTGTTCATCCAAAACAGCTGGCCATACTACGTCGGATTCGGATTCCTGCTCAGCCTGTTGACGTCGTTGTCGTCGTCGGTATTTAACAGTAGCTGCGTATTTAGCATATTCTTCCCCGTCTTTATCCTGAGTAGCCTGCAGGCAAGGCCTCCAGCCACCATTGCCAACGCCTACATGCCGCTGAATCTCTTCGCGCCATCTGTTGTGCTGTGCAAACTTTTCCTGCATATATTCTTGTTGAAATGGCGAAGGTCAGCCATCTTCCAAAGAACTTTTCGACACTTGTGACGATGCTAGACGATTAAACTTTTTCAGTCCGTTTTTCTGGTTTGTTTCCTTCTCTTACACTATACTTACCGGACCATTTTGAAACTCATATTTTACCTGCTTTGATCGTCGTTGTTTTGTTTGTTGTATTTTTGTCTTATCAAGCGTCATTATTGTTCTCAGAGAATGAACGACCCGTGCGAAAGAATCATAAGAGATCTGAAAATAAAGATCGTCGCGTGGTCTGACGTGTTGCAAACTATTGAAACGTCCGGCGAACACGATGACTTTCTGCAACGCTGTGAAAGCAATGACCTTGTTCCCGGAGTTTATGAAGGTAATTTACCGACATTTAAGTCACATCATCGTATTAGGTCTGTGATGTGTAAATGTTTCTTTAACAGGCTATACTATGTACGTATGCAAATATAAAAGTGTTTTCGCATACCTGACTATATTAAATGTCGCAATACTCTTCTAAGCACTGAATTTTAAACTTATCGCTCCCGTTCCTCCTAATTGCCTGCAGGTACTTAATGTTTATGAGATGGCGTATAAGAAATACCAGTACCTGAAACTATTGGCAATGAGCATCAGGTGGTTGGTCAGGTTGATGTAGCGAACAGAATCATGCAAGATGCACCTGGCACTGCTAATGCGCAGAACTCGACAGGTTGTAGCCTGCTTAGAGGTCTGCCCGACAAATACTAGCAAAATACAGTGGAATGCGCTGTCAAATTTGGTTTTGGATAATTTACACATCAATTATAGAAAAATATAGACGATTGGTTATTTCATTCGTTTTCAAAGGTATTTATTCGGATAGAGCAAGGCAGTTCCATTGGCATACTTTGGACTCACATTAACCGATTGTCAGTTTAATGCAGGATCTGCCGCAAATTCATATAGATGGGTAAACGAATACCATCATGTTCGAAGCAAGCAACAAAATGCATGAAGTGGCGGTGATCGGACTGCGGACACTGCTTTCGAACATGTAACAAGAGATTGGGTTGACAAACAATGACAAAATCAGCGCTGCCATAAACTTAATGAAAAATGATGTTATGAAGCATAAAAATGGCAATGGGCTGGTGTGCCGTTTTATTCCCATTTTCCCGTAGCGGGAGCAGCAGTAGGAGGCTTTTCCGATGTTCTCGTTCATCATATAACGATAGAACTCTACGGACTGGGTCGTTGAATACAGCTTAACTACCTGGCACTAGATCTGACCCGTTGGTCGCTCACATTATATGGCTTTCTGATTTTTTTCTCTGGCACCATGATCGCGTTTTCCGATATAGCAATGCATGTTTACTGTATCTGCTTCACGAACAAGGATATTTTAGGTCTTGTCACTTCACGGTCATTCGAATAAGTTGCATGCGTTCAGTTAACATGTGTGATCACACTCTTTTTTGTACATGCGTGGCGCTCATCACCGTTATGTTGGTAGGTCGGTGCATAGAATCTGAAAGATGGCCTCAAATTACTGCTCACCGCTTCATCGCTACGTATTTGTTTAGCTTTTGCTTTACTGCCCTCATTTCGACGCTTCGTATGTCCCTTTCCACATTGTGTTTGCTCTAGGTCTGAGCGTGAAGTCAAAATACTTCAACTTTTCTACCTGCTCTACTAGCACTACACTTATCCATAAAACACAGAGGGCAATATATCGACAATGTCAAAGCTTCGTGTTGCTCATACTCATTTTCATTCGAGGAAGGAAGCATGACGAATTATTTTCAGACGATTCATGAACACATTGAGTCTCTTCGACGGTAAAGTTCCCTGCTTGTAAATTGTATGTTATACTGAAATTTGTGATTGCAACAACCCTCTGCAGGATTCTTTGGATGCAGCGTATATTTTCTCTTTTTCAAACGATTATTTCCACATACTGATTGCTACGCACTGCGGTAGACCGAGAACGCTTTCCGTTTGGTTCCGATTGTGGAAATGATATGAATCCACCGTCAGTATAGTGTTCCTCCCGTGAAGAATGCTAGGTTTATGAAATCGGTCTGCTTCACCATCCATAAAGTTAATGAAAGAAAGAATGGGCAACATCCATAAATTCCGTGGACGTGTTACAGCATTCGACTAATGTTCATGTATGTTGCAGCAACGTTGACCCTTATCAAGTAGTAATCCAATGCGCTAATCCAACGTTGAAAAACTCTGGTAGTCTTGACTGATAAGATCACAATGCCAAATTACTAGTGAATGCTAGAAAAAATGCAAATGGAGCATAACGAAGCGGGATTTGTATCAACTTTCGCTCTGAGGCAGTAACGAAATTATAGCTGTTGGAGCTCTGAGACTGAGACTAAGATGGAAAGACAAACGGCTGATCAACAGTATGATCCGCAACATGCTAAATTAATGCTGGTAAAGGCTAAAAGACCGATGAAAAACTTCATAGCTGAATAGTGTCGGGAACGAATTATGATAGCACTGGGCCAAACTTATCTACAAACCAGTGGCATTGCCTGGCCGAAGGATTCACTTGTTTGACATTACACAGGACAGGAAAGTAGATCGATAAATCGCTCTGAAAGACACCCAATTCCCTCAGTTAACCTACGCATAAACTTTCAAACCGCTGTGTTGAAATCTTATGGCCAGGTATTGGATTAATCGGTTTTAAAGATATTAACGCAATCTATTATGCCGTTGGTAAATTGTTTCGGTTATAGTCACAATAGACTTAATCCGCACGAATACACTTGTGAACAAGATGTCTGAAATTTTGGATATCGCTCGATTTATGTTTATGTGACGAGCAAAAAGCGTATGATGGTCATTACGACCGTTGGACCAATGAATGGAGCCTCTGGCTATGGTCTCATTAAACTGTTGGAAAAACGACGGGCCCGTTGGGGCAAGCCGTTTTGTCCATCTAGCCAGAGGTTCATCTGTGATCCAATGCAGGTTCATCGTCGACAATGCATGGTGCGACTGCACGGCGTTATGAGAAGCAAAATTATGTTCAGAATCCAACTCTAAACCGGACGGTCACCGGAAGTAGATCGAGCACAATCTGAAACGTCGAACATCTAATCGACATTTAACCTTGTCTAATAAAGCTATTACTTTATGGCGAATTAATCGTCACTATTCGAATTTCTTTGCAATGTTTCTTCAAGGAGGTCTGAAGATCTGGGAATGTTCTATCGATATGTGTGAATTTCTCGCCGACCCTATGAATATAGACATGTGCGAGCACAAGCGGGTGTTGGAATTGGGATGTGGAGCAGGTATTCCGGGTATCGTTTGTTTGTTGAAAGGAGCTGTCGAAGTCTGCTTTCAAGATTTTGTAAGTTTTTCTCGATCTAAACTGAATTTTTGTTTTAGCTTCCTGCTAACGTTGCTTTAGAACACAGAAGTCTTGAACTACTTTACGAAAGCCAACGTAGCACTGAACTGCGATGACCCCGCTACGCGGACCAACTTTGTCGCTTCGGACTGGTCTAAACTGCACGAGACTTTAAACCACCGCAAGTACTATAGGCATATCGGTTGCTGTAACAGTGTAATAGCACAGTAGATATCATGCTCTATTTAGATAAAATGAACAATTAATGATATCACGTGTACAGGAGAAAAAAATATTGCACGGTCAAGTTTTTTCTTGTTTGTGCAAGTGGAAATGGTTCATTCGTTTTTTATTCATTCACTTGTTCATTCCTTCGCTTACTCACTGTTTGATTGATTGATTCATTATTTCAATGGGACGGCTGCCAAGTACAGTTAAGTTGATCGAAAAGAACTAGCGACCTTTCAGCAAGTTTACAGGTGTGAAGCACATAAATGAAACAACAGCATAAACAAGGGTGAAGACGTACAGCAGGGCCATTCACGATAAGTTCGATTGGATCAGGCTTCTGAACGCGTGCGGTTCCCTAAAAGTCCGAATTATATGAAGCATTACTAAGCAATTAATAGTTTCAGTTCTGTCGCGCTTATCCTTCATATCTGATGTAGAGCTGGTTAGAAGAGTCATGCAACTGATGGGTCGGACCGTCGAAAATAGTACGTTGGTCACATTCTAGAAGGGGAGGTTTAAATCTGAGTGCGCCATAATTTTTCTTATTGATTTCTAATTCGTTTGAGCATAGAATTAACAAGCTGAGTAACGAGAAAAATTAAATATATAAAAATTGAAATACTGTAATTACGGCCTGGAGTTGTAAAGCTTCTCTTTTAGTAGTTACTTCAGAACATCGGAGTTGTGTTTTGTCGTCTTTCTGTATTAGTCTGTACCTGACTACTTTTCCAGTGTTCGCCGTGTTGGTAGATAAATTTTCAAAGTTTGCATTTAACTTATAGGTTTGACCTAATATTGTCCTGCGAAACGATCTACAACACTACAAACTACAGTGCACTTTACAACGCGTTTAGTGAATACCTGGCACCGGACGGCACCTTGTAAGACATTGTCGCGCAGTTTGTTCAAACGTTGGGTGACAATCACATTCGGTTTGCAGCATACTAGCAGCCAAAAACTACTATTTTGGGATCGGTGGCAGCATAAAATCGTTCGTACAGTTCGTCGAATCGAGGAACATCTTCCGGGCAGAGGTCGTCTGGAGGTCAACTGACGCATCCATCAGTCGACAGATCGTTCGATTTCGTCGTTATGACCATTGATTTTACGCTGTGACGAATCGGTAGATAGCTCATAAGAATATCATGACTTACTGTAATTACAATGGCAGTAATTAAGTATCGAACCATGTGTAATTTTCATTCTTGCATTGTTACCGAGCAAATAAAACAGCATGATGTGCATTTTACGACCGCAATCCGCCTTGATGCATCTAACAGCTGAGTACATCAGCGTGAATCGTAACGTTAAATAAAAATATTTTTGTAATTGCCAATATCAAGCCGTATTGACTACGTTGATTATGAATTACATATTCAAATAAAAAAGTTTGTATTAATAATTAGCAACAATTCTGAAAACAAGATATAGGACCGCATTATCCCATCGATAACGCGCTTTATCTCTGGAAAAAAGTCGTCAGCTAAAAAAAAACTGCTCGTTATGCAATAAAAAACGAAAAAATTCCAAAATATTTTAAGTAACGTATGTTCGCGGTAACTTCAAATAGGGTATATTGCGATAATAATAAATTAGTCTGAAACCTTGTGCATATTGCAATATCAGTGAATGTAAAGGTCAATATAACAAAATAAGATAAAAATAAAACATGAAACGTAAAATAACATTTATTACAACAAAGTCACTCAAAATCATAAAACTTCACCCGAATCATTATAAAATGAACAATACATTTACAGTTTCTTCAGGTACATCACTCAGTTCGTTGTCTGAAATTAATCCTTCGCCATCTTCTGTTTGTAACGTTGTAGTATCTAGTACATCACCTAATGCTTTTAAAACCCCGCTTTTTCACACAAGACACAGTAGCCATGTTAACTTTTAAGGATATACCTGCACATTTGTTCACATGAATCATTTTAATCTTCCCCGATTTACTGTAGTCTTTAATTCCAGACATTATCCACTTCTCCCATCTGGAACGCAACTTTGACTTACAAGATTTATTAACCGATAAATCAAACGGCTGATTTTTTTGTTAATTCACCAGGAATAATTGCTTGTTAACCCTTTCACATCATTAGCCATAGACGCATGGCAAGAGTCCATTATTAATAAGGTTTTTCTATCAAAAAAAGCTTATTTTCTTTTTCTCCAAAGATTTTAATTATATCTTGATTGACATATGACTTCTCATTCGCAGCAATCAAAATGTGTTTCCTTTAGGCACTGTTTTTCTCCTAAATATAACCAATGGAAGAATTTTTCCACCATTGGAAGACACACTTAACACCACAGTAAAATTCGACTGTAAATATCCGGGAAAATTAACAGTCCTTGAATCAGGGAGAACAAAGCTAAAGGGCACTTCACCCGTACTGCCAAAATGTGCAGATCAGGATCTCTACCACACGAACGTTTTTAACGTAAAGTCTAATTTCTCTACTTTCGCTTCCCAGCCATCAGGTAGTTTTGGCCAACAATTGAGGATGAACGAATACACAAATTAGGATTTCATAAATCTAAAAGCACATGATGGGTAAGGTTAAAATTTTTTATTTTTTCCTCTTCGGCAACCAGTTTTGCCCTCAACAAAACACTGGTTGTTGAAACCTTATGTCCTTTGGATCTCTCTGAAAGAACGCACTCGAGAAAAGTTATTTCGAGCTTTGTCCAAAAGCATTTTCTGTGACTCATTCCAAGTTTCTTCTGTGTAAACAATTTAGAACTGCTTCTTCTTTGTTCCATTCATGTACAGTGGACTCTCAAACGTTGAATTTCCTGGCTGCCTCACGATTCCCATGTTCTTTCGCGAAATCCACGAATTTTTCCTCACAGTATTATTTTCTCCATGAGTATTTTCCCAGGAGCAACTTTCAATTAAAAAGCTAAAAATTTGCAAAATACACGTGTTCAAAGATCAGAAGCAATATACTGACTCTTGTTAACTCGTCTGTTCGCTAGTTTCAGATACAGCCACAGCCAATCATATTATTCCATTATTGTTTTGTCAAAAATCTGCCTTTTTTCAGACAAGAAAAGACTACACGCTATCTATCAATTATCATGAACATTAAATATTAAAACCTGTGCCGGATCTAGTAGGTGCGCGTTATCTATACATTTTAACGAGCATAAAGAAGTGCAAGGTGCGCGTCATCTATGGGAAAATACCATAATTCTGTGGATAATCTGTTGCCTTCATAATAATGCAAATATTACTGTAATATTGATCACTCTTTGAAGAAACAATGGCTTCATGCACAGCACTTTCTTTCTGCTGCGACTTTTCAGTTATAGTCGCAAAAAACGGGGTTATAGCTTTCAGTCATTCGACCCCGATAATGTGCGGAAATCAAAATTATGGAATAAATAGAAAGCTGGTTTCACGTCTAAAGCTATTGTTTTACTGAAAAGGTAGACAGTTTAAATTTCGTTTCTATGCACTGGAAATAAATTTCCGACTACCTACCTAACTGTATATTATTAACAGACATGCATGCCGCTATTTTCACCAAAGCTTTAGCCTGAGTCTGGGGAGATCGACTGTGAAAAACTGGCGAACAATACGGAATACCATCACAGACTATTCGCGTAATTAAAAAGATGTATGATCATTCGTTCAGTGTAGTGTGAACTAGCTGCAGGTTCGGCAAATTCTTTCTTATAAAGTTCAAACTAAGGCACGGAGGAGTGGCATTTCCGCTGGTACTAACGATGCTGACTGACTGAACGCTCCAGTCGGTACGAAGATAAGCTATGACTGGGGAAAGAGTGGGCAACATTTGCGCAAGCTGTCTTGCTTTTGCGGATAATAAATATTGTTTTTCTAGCAGACAACTTCGAAGCTCTTAAATCACTGTTTCTTACTCTGAAACAAAGGTGATTTGACCTGGGTCTCTCAGTTATATATAAAAAACGAAACGGATAAAAACCGGTAGAACCCAGGCCAATATCTGTCTGACCTTTGATTCCAAAGCGGTGGAAGAGTTACAAGAACAGCCGCATCTTAGGAGTACATTGGCCGCAGGTGGACGAGCGACGAACGAAGTTACGAGAGGATGTGTGTTGATATTAGTAGCGAGCAACAAGTTGTTCCAACTCTAGAAGAAGAAAGATATTGGTGGATATACAACGGCTTGAATTCTAAACATCCTTTTCTATTCTATGACTTGCATACGACAGCGCATAAACCAATGAACCGGCTGAAATGGAGATTATAAGATTAATATTAGGAGTTAAGTTATATGACATGATGTTAAATTCTGTTGTAGAAGACAGATTAAAATATCCAAGTAAAGGCACTGACGCTTGGCTGCAAACAAAGCTTCTAAAATGATGAGTCCAATGCGAACGAACAGACGACAGCCGCTTGCGAAGCGTACACCGAACGCCAAATCTGACCACAGGCGGTCGTCAGGAAGACCTCCACTGTCATCTCGTTAGAAGTGACATGACAACAAAGGGTTTGAAGAGTCAGTAGGTATTTATTCAATTCAGATGAAATGCCTAAGGCACGACAACCGTCATTGTCTTTGACGCAACTGAGCGAGAAGAAACATTCTTATATTATATATCATTACCATTATTAAACCTGGCGATAAACGAACTAGAGTATGACTCTCCCACTAGCTGCACGAAAGACAAGAATGGACAAATTACTGAACTGGTATCGGTCATCCTCAAAGAATACAACTACTCCTTTAAGACAGTGATGATCAGAGAATTTGTCCATTCCCTCATGAGGACAGATGCCAATTCGATTGCAACAGAGAGTCTGTGTTAAATAAAGAATTTATTTTCTGTCTTTCGTCCTCCTAATCGCCGAAATAACAGGCCTGTTTCCTTGCAGTCCAACGTTGCGCGATAAAGATATGAACATTTAAAAGTGAATTTTGGCAAGGTTGCAAAAGTTGTGCTAAATTTTCATTAGTTTACCATTCAAGAACTGGTCACATCTACGCGCTAGCGAATCTTTTTAGCACATGAGACATTTGCTTCCAAGGAAAATGAAGCTCCTTTTCTCTCCAATGACATGGAGAGAGTCTCACAACAACTGAACAGAATTCATTGTAACTGTCATCAGAAGTCATTAGGTTAAGGTGATAGTCTTAGACTTTGTCCGGCATTTAAAGTACATTGTAGATGGCTGATTTTTCATTTTCAATGGGGTTATGTGTCCGCACTCATCACAAATAGCTTCTGTTGAACTTCTTTCAAGTTTAGCGGTTAGTATGTAATGTATGATGTAGACTGCATGACTACTTCTTCTCAGATGCTAAGTAAGAGTAGCCACAATGGACAACCAAGTGGCATTTTTTGCCTATGGGAAAACAGTTCGGGAAAAAAGCCCGTTACGGAGATTGCAGGCTGTTGAATTCCACAAAAAGCAAATTCTTGTAATTGTGCGTTACTCAAGTTAGATACCTTACTGTAGCAATTTATTGAACTCTTCAGGTTAACAAGTACAAACCTATACGGAATGAAAAGTGTGATATGTAGGATTACGTAACCAACGTTTCTTACGCAGAATCTTCAGGTAAATACTTGATATTCGCTGTCAGGCCGAGGAAGATCATGGCTATTCCGACGGACATCAGCGTCACGTTGATCGTAACTTTGAAGAAGAAGTACCAGCGTCGTCCTTCGGCGAGGCGCCATTCGTGCCAGAACGTAATGCACTCGAAAAGCGGTGGGTACACGAAGGCACAGAGCATGCCGGCTGTTCCGCCGACTAGCGACACGATCGAGTCGATACGTGGCACAGCGATAGCGAACACATCTACAGAAATGAGCAGCAATGAATATGTGCTAATATGTGCTATATGCTTTCTACGTACAGGTTACCAGCACCCAGAATGTACGAAAAAGCACTGACAGCAATCGCTGGTGATCTGCCATCATTGGAAGCCACTTAGTGACCATTTTTCGCCGAAATCCAGGCCACAGCATGTCGAAGATCACATAGAGGTTGACTGGATGTGCGAAGAACGCCATCAATATGAAACAGATCGTAACGCCAGCGAAAAGACTACAATATTTCAAACGGGTACGATGGTATTACGGGAGCAGACGCCTTATGCGTACTAGTTGTCCGGCATATTCAAAGAAAGCGTACCCTTTGTCTGCTCGCCGTACGCCGTATAGCCGTAGAAACCCAGTGCCGTGAAAATGACCGTCACGAGGACCATGAGAGTCGTCAATACGCCACACGGGGCAATAAAGTCATCCGGATGCCTTAACTTGTTCTCCACCGGCAGCACCTAGAGAACAAAGTCGATACACAGAATATTGACAGCTTTAAGCACCGTTTTCTACCATGGTCTGCCCTTCGTACGCGTACATCACAGTTCCTACGAACATCACTGTCGACCAAAAGTCGGTCGACAGCGGAACTGTTTGCCACTGCGACGGCTGCTGAAGGCATTGGTAAAACAATGGCAATGCGCCGACGAACCATAACACCGACGAAGTGATCGCCAGCCAGCTGACGAAACGCATCTCGGCGATCATATTCACAGCCACAACAGGCACCAGCAACATGCTAGCGTATTCAATCTGACTGAGATTAGAGCCAAACTGTTCAGAGACGATCTAAATATAGACAAAAATCCTAGAAATGAAGAACGAGGAAGAAATATTAAAAAATCACATAAAATCAAACAGGCTGAAAACGCGCAGAAGAATGGAAACTAGGAAAGCACTACTTAAAGATTTAATGGTTATGGTAATTACGAGAGAACAAGTAGCTGATCTTCGATATTTAGTCGTGAGAAACAACATCGACGTCATGCTGATTTTGGAACTATTGCCACTCATTTTTAACATCTTGCAAATGAATGCTTGATCACGCTCCCCCCCCCCATTTTTATGACCGTATGGTGAGGACAGTCATCTGTGACGTTCTGAAAGTGTCACACGTCTTGGATCGGTATCGGTTATTAATAGAGCTAAATATCAATCCTTTCTCGGGGACATCGTCAGTGTGTCAACAGTATTCAGTGTCAAGAGTATTCAATGATGAATAACAAGAAAAGAAGCCCATCTTGAGCCCAATGCTAACAAACTTTCGTGTGCTAGAAGTGCATTTGAAAATCCAATACCTTGAAATCATCTTAGAACTGGGTATACACAAACACAGACATGTTGAACTAAGTTATGTTTTAAAGATTTCTTTGCTGAAAAGGTTGCTGACCTTCACGCCCTTTCTCCAGTGGTGGCATCAAAACATGTTTCTTAGCATTTGCACATATATCTTCTGTTATATTTACTGCCCTTCTTACATACGACTGTAAAACTTCAAAAAAATCTTTGTGACTGCCATAAGAGACTTGAGATTTGTAATTTGCAAATTTCACTGATTGAGTTATTTCCGATGGCATGCCTGTAGCCAGTCCATAATATTTTCACAATAGCAATACTCATCCTGTGCATGCCAATCTCTCGTTGTACTCTTTAGCCTGTCAGGCCTCAACAGATCATAATGTTTGCATAGACCATCGAACATACTCTCACTGATTTTGAACGCTTAAAACAGCTCTATCTTTATTTGTCTGGACTGCATTAGCCGCTACGCGTTCCATTTTAGTTATTTTTCCATTTTTGTTCCATTCGGCTAATTATTTACTATTTACATTGCTATTTTTGTTTCCTGTAAACGTTAAACCTAATTGTGACTGTACTAATTGTGTTATTTTCATATACTGAGCCATCTAGTAGAATGATCGATGCGGTAGAATAATAGTTCGAAATTATCATTTGTTTTAAACAGCATAAAAACAAGCTTGCTAATATCTTGTTTAGTGCTTCATTTCCTGATTCTGCGAGTTCCACTTAATTTGGAGAACTATAGACCGATCAGTTTGTTGCCTTGCTGTCAATCGTTTAGAATATTTTCACGACGGTACTGACGAATACCCTTCAAGAAAATTTGGACTAGGCATAGTCGAAGGAACAAGCAAGACTCAGAATTGAATTTTTTATGATGAATTATGTTCA